CATAAGTGTGTGCAGTTTACCTTATGCTGTCACCCTCTTGACATCCCATATTGCGGGACGCATAAACCCTTGTTATGCGCATATCTCCGATATATCCACGCTTGTTTTAACCAAATGTGTCTGACAGATTAGCACGAATAGGTCTAAGCAGTCACTCATTTTACAAATCACGCATCACAACGAAAACATCTAGGGAGCCAGCCGGGGAACCTCCGTTTACACAGCGAGCTTTTGCGCTCCATCCAAGTTTATTCTTCCGAGGTAACCCAAGAAATCTATCAGTGCTGCGAAAAGACTGTCCAGTTCATGCCGCTCACACCGCGCTTAGTTAATGAATTAAAATGAAACCGTGAAAATAGTTTGATGGATTGTTTTGGCGCTAAAGCATATAGCGGGCTTGTGTTAAAGCGCTTCACCTCAGATGTTATTCGTTACTCGTTTATGCTGTAGATAACTGACCAAAATATACATCAAAATTAAGTTACACATTATACAAAATGAAATTCGTTACAAAAATATACTTTTTAAGGAAATATGTATATATTTATTTAGTTCGTGCCCGCCTTAAACATCTGCGTGTGGATGATGCTTCGCTCCGTGGGAAAAAAGGTTTTAATTGATGATCCACTGCTGTTGTAAACGTCTGTCATATATTTGCTGCATTTTTAATATGTCATTATTTTAAAGATTATGTCTTGAGCAACTGATTTCTCCTCTGTGATTATGTCCTTTTAAATAGGTTATATAAAGGCTAGTTTATTTACCGTCGATGAGAGACAATAGTGGTATACAGATTTCAAATCAAATATTTTAATATTAAAAGGAAACATAAGCTTGAAATCAAAAGATTCTTTATTGTCTTAACAACTACCCTTAAATGATACCCTTAACTGATGCAGCCTGTAGTTTACATCAAGCGTTAAGTGTTCATTGAGATGTGTTTAGGATTTTGTCCGCTGTCATCTCTCTTTTCAAGGTTTTTTTTCTCGTAAGGCACGGCTTTCGAAAATGATGACATGAGACTCTGCTGGGTAGCTGCGCTGGTTTACTAACACTTGTTTAGGCCTGTACTTTCTTAGCATGTTCATAAGGGTGGTCTTGTTTTAAATGGTGAAACAGGTTTGTGGTGTTGCCTACTTTTGATAACAGGAGACGTCAGCACAGTTTGCGGTGCACGTTACTCTGTTTTGTGTCTGATAGCAAAAAACTAAGTAGCTCATGACTGAGGTCTAGTGACGTTTCTTGTCAACAGTGTCTGTGACTCTGACCTTTTTTACCTTATTTCTTTCTTACTTCTTTCAGTGCAACAAACACTATATGGCTGTAAACTTGTAAGGCGTATGGCATCCGGAAGGGCAGGCTGCAAAGTGCTTTCGAAACGTTACGCATAGTGCATAAATATTATCAAGCAATTATCGAATTGTCATTATCGTTTTATCGAAAAATTTTATATCGCAATAATTGTCGATATCGAATTTTCGCCCAGCTCTAGGCCTATGTGTAGGTCTTCTTTTGCTTAAAATGCTAAATTTTGTATATTTATTATGGTGGACTTGAACAAACTTTTAATATGTTCTGTTTGTTCATTCAGAGTAAAATGATAACATCAGAATAATATTCATAATTATAAAATTTAATTATTATTTTTGAATCATGTGCTTGTCGTTTGTCATGGACAGCATTATTAGACCATTTGTTTTCACTGGTAAAATCAGACAATTGTCATTATCAGGTTTCTTCTTGCATTATATTCAACAATATATAAGCTAGAGTAGCTATACTGACACTGTAGAACAAGGGTGGCCAACTCTGTTCCTGGAGAGCGCCCTTCCTGCAGAATTCAGTTGCAACCCATATCAAACACACCTGCCTGTAATTGTCACATGGTGTTCGGGTCCTAATTAATTGGTTCAGGTGTGTTTGATATGGGTACAACTGAAATCTGGAGGAAGGTAGCTCTCCAGGAACAGGGTTGCCCACCCCTGCTGTAGAACATTTATTTTGATGCACAACACTGTGTTAGCTATGAAAGAAAAAAACATATCAATTACTTGTAATCATAACTGTAAAATGCGATATGATCATTTAATGATCTGCAGTTTCATTTTCACTTCCTAGTATGGCTCATGGCTGCCGTGACTGTGATAAAACACACATGCAAATCATTGCTCTTAAACTTTGTGCTTAAACTTTGCTTTGTGCAACAAACTGAACGTTATTTACAAATTTATTACTTGTTATTCAGAACCTATGCAGGTTCTGTTCACTAAAGTAGCTGTCATTGCCGTGCTGCATGCGTTCTCGGTTGCTTGTGGTCGGCTCAGGTGTGATTTCGTGGCCGCAAATACATCATTACATGAAGACATGGGTGAATTATACCTTTTCTGGGTGAATTATACCTTATAAATACAGTATGTGACACTTTTAACGTCTTTTGAAGGTGTTCATTTTCCTATGAAGGCTTGTGCGACTGCCTTTAAGCTTCTCTCCTGACCTTAAAAATATAATTGGCTGAATCAAAGAAAAGCTAAATTAAGATTGTGTGTAGTGTCGAAATGAGACCGTGATCGTTTTTTGATTAATCGTGCAGCCCTAATTGCAACATGGCAGAACTGTTCCTGAAAACTGCATCTAGTGTTTTCAGATGAATACATGTACTGTTACACCTCTACTTTACAGTAATTTCGTTGTTAACAAATCAAACAGTAACGCGCTTGTAGGGTCCAGCCAGTTGGTCCAATGACGGTATCCAATGGTGGATGAAGGTTCACTGCATGTTCGGTCTTTCCAGTGCACAATGTTGATTTATATTAAACTTAGCTCATATCTGACTCCAATTTTAATATGAGGTGGTTTAAAATATTAATATATTTATCCTCGTTTTATCTGACTCCAATTATAAAACATTGATAAGATTATTTTGTTTCCTTTCACATTATTTTAGATTATGATTGAATATTCTTTTAATTTGTTATTATACCTTATTCTCATTTACTCAGATTCCTATAGCATCTCGAGTCTTGCACCGGCCGGGTATACAATCTCTTAATACAAGCTTGTCAGTCTTGGTCATTAAACAGAGGCGATTAACCACTCTCCTAAAAAGGCAGAACCCTACTTACTCAATTTAGGAGATTTTTATTTGGTCCCCATAGATCTGTTGTCTACTTAATCAAGACAAAGTATTTTAATAATAATCACACAGGATTATAAGTTTGTAGATGAAGGCCTAAATATCCACACTTAAATTAGTTTCAACAATATTTTGTTGTTCTAAATAGAAAACCCATAGTTGGCCTTTTGCAGTCTAAGGGTGCTTTCACACCTGTGAATCGATTCAGTTGTTCCGAAACAGAGATTACAATTGTTACATTGTTGCTCTTTGATCTTGTTCGCTTTCACACTGCAAAGTCTAATCGGACCAAAAGAGCTAAAACAAGTCACGTGCAAGTAAACTCTCCTCACATTGATCAGAGTGTCAGGGTTTATTTTGCAGCGTCCCGCTAAACTGTCAGGAGAGGTGGTGGTTTGGTGGTGATTAACAGGGTGCGCGCGCGTGACGTGTCTGAGGAGAGACTCGGTGGGGAGGGGTGAGAAGGGTGCGCGACGATGCCTATTTGAGGACCTGGAGGGAGACGCGAGATTACCGGGAGATCATCACTCGTTTGCGGGCATCCGGAGACTCGCGAAACTTCCCGCCCTACTCATAATACTCTCTTCATATAGCCGTAAGCCTATTACATATCCATAACACACTGTGATATAACCGCGCTCGGATCGGATCGCTTTCTCACTACAATCGAACCGCTTCAGGGCCTCATTCAAGCGATCTCGGAGCGATTACTTTGGCGCGGAACAGAGCGCGATTGCCCTGTTTACATATGCCAATCGAACCGCGCTAACTGGGCAAACGAGATACGTTCCGAAACAAAAGTGTAGGTGTGAAAGCACCCCAAGTATACTTGAAATAATGCCAATTTGTTAGTCGGATCTCTAACAACATTGTATAGCGTGCCACGCTGCTCCGTCTAACATGTTTTAGTCCGTTACTAACCTGTACAGTGGCTTGTAGTGCTATGGACAACAACATTTATCAGTGATAATAACACGAGGTTTAAATAATTCAAAACATAACAATTTATTAGTCAGGTAAATGTATTATGCCAATTCAATCAGTCAATTCATAAACGATCAATACAACACATCAAATTATCAAAGACAAATCCAAGATGAAAAAGATGCATTCCTGACTTCAAAATACATAACATGGAGCAAGCCATGTTATGGGCTGATCTGGTTAGGCAGAATCGCCCTGAGCCTTTCTCAAACCTTACCTTAAATAATCCAAGAATTCTCTCAAGGAAGGGGGTGTGTGTATAACAAAAGGCTTTCACACTTGGTGCTGCCTGTGGAAAGTCACACCCTTCACAGTGGTTCAAAAGATGCCTGAAGTTATATATTTATTGTTTTGATTATGTCTATTTCTGAGAGAATGAGACCATTGTACCAATCGCACTGAGACATTTCAAATGATATCAAACATGATAGTTAAAGTCAGTTTGGTTAATCTAGAACATTCAAACATTGAAATGACCATATGCGTGAGATGGGGGGGATGAAGCTGAGTTTCAGCATACACAAATGCAAATGCAGCAGAAACTGGTTTTTCCCGCATTCCCCCCTGCTGGTTTGTGAAGTCAATTGGCCCTATTTTCAGCTCATGTTTTGAATTGTCAAAGACATCAAAAATATTTGTAATATTTCAATTCCTACACGCTTTAATTTTGTGATTATTATACTAATGTTAATACATATATTGGTTTAAAAAATATAATTTATGCTTGAGATAAAATCAGTTATATCTTTAAGCGACATATGCAAGTTGGTTTTTAAAGTTTTTTAACCTCTTCAATTACAATAAATTTGTTTGTATAGTAGGTTGGTGTGAAAATGCCATTCTGCTAGAAGATTAAATGTAATATTCTGTGCCTTCCCTATAGGCTGATTTTGGTTTTAATGAACACCATCAGCATGAGGTGATAAACTACATGCGATTTGCCCGCTCTAAACGGGCCCTTAGACTGAAGACTGTCGACTCCTGTTTTCAAGACCTAAAGGAAAGTAGGTGAGGAATACAAGCCAATGTATTTGAAATAAACTGCTGGTTTTTGTCTTTAGCAGAAGTTAATTTTTTACTTTTCTCTCTGTGTCCACATTAAAGGCTCATAGAAGAGACATACACAGTGGACGAGGTGACTGATATTCTAAATGGGCTTCAGGTTTTGGTGCGTGGAGAAGTGGAGATGGAACTCATAAACACAGCTCACACTAACGTGCTGCTGCTGCGACAACTTTTTTCTCAGGCTGAGAAATTCTACCTAAGGCTGCAGACAGACATTTCAGAGCTGGAGAACAGGTAAGGAAAGAAGAAAGGTTTGCCAGTACTAGGGGTGGGAAAAAAAAGTATGCATCATGATTCTTTTGTTTAGCGATTCTGAATTGATTCTCAAATGTTTAGTATCGATTCTGTATTCAAAGTAGACCTCTGCAAAGTATGGAAGCATACGAGTAGCATAATTCAATTCAAAATGTAATATGCAAAATGGCAATGCAATATGTTAAATGGCAATGTATTTCTGTATTTGAATTTGCATTTTCCAAGACATATGAGCAATGTTTGGTGCAGAATGAAAATGTAAATTAAATTACATTGTTTGCATTTCTCATTTCAAACACTGTTTTAATTTGTAAATTGTATCCACATTTTAAAGCTTTATAAGTAGCAAAATTAAATTGAAAATGCTATACACAAACTGAATTTGATGTGAATAAAGTACAAGCAGAAACTGTGGCAAAATGATAATTTAAATGTTATTTGTCCTAAATGCATTTACACTCGCGTCTAGGAAATGCAGGATTACATTTTCAGCATAACAGCATGGGATGTGTGTAGCAAAATTAATTTTGAAATGTAATACGCAAAACAATAATGCAATATGTAAAAGGCAGTGTATTTCTGTATTTCAGTTAGCATTTTCCAAGACATATGTGCAATGTTTGCTGCAGAATGACAATGAAAATGAAAAAAATCATAATGCATTTTCATTTAACACATCGCGACGAATGAAAGCCGATTTGAAATTGAAAATGCATTCTGGCCTGGCCACGCCCACAGACGGCCACCGTTGCTGCAAGGCAGGTTTTAGTTTATGTCGTCACAGCTGCCGTGAGGACTATTTGGGACATTTGGCGGCATAAACATGGCGAAGTCTGTTCCTCAGCGGCTTCGTGAAGCTGCACGAGCCCTCGAGCGTGAACTGGGAAATACTTTAGAAAAGCAATCACCTCCTAGCTCAGTAAACTTGGCTTAAGGTTTGATATTCGCGCATGCAGTTTTAGGGATCATCTGCAAATTACATCGACAGAACCTAAAGGGGCTTTAGCTGATGTGTACTGTATGCTTATGACAAGAGCTATTGCCTATTTCTGCATTGTATGTACCATATAGTTAGTGGTATAGTAGCTTTGCTACCTGTATTAAATCAGTCTGGCCTCTAACCATTTATTGGAATCTCCTGAATTTTTTCTGCTTTGCGTTACTGTGCATTTTGGTTCTGTTGATGTAAATCGCAGATGATCCCTAAAACTGCGTGCGCGAATATCAAACCTTAAGCTAAGTTTACTGAGCTAGGAGGTGATTGCTTTTCTAAAGTATTTCCCAGTTCACGCTCGAGGGCTCGTGCAGCTTCACGAAGCCACTGAGGAACAGACTTCGCCATGTTTATGCTGCCAAATGTCCCAAATAGTCCTCGCGGCAGCTGTGACGACACAAACTAAAACCTTTGCAGCAACGGTGGCCGTCTGTGGGCGTGGCCAGGTCAGAATGCATTTTCAATTTCAAATCGGCTTTCATTCGTCGCGATGTGTTAAATGAAAATGCATTATGTTTTTTTCATTTTCATTTTCATTCTGCAGCAAACATTGCACATATGTCTTGGAAAATGCTAACTGAAATACAGAAATACACTGCCATTTACATACTGCATTATTGTTTTGTGTATTACATTTCAAAATTAATTTTGCTACACACATCCCATGCTGTTATGCTGAAAATGTAATCCTGCATTTCCTAGACGCGAGTGTAAATGCATTTAGGACAAATAACATTTAAATGATCATTTTGCCACAGTTTCTGCTTGTACTTTATTCACATCAAATTCAGTTTGTGTATAGCATTTTCAATTTAATTTTGCTACTTATAAAGCTTTAAAATGTGGATACAATTTACAAATTAAAACAGTGTTTGAAATGAGAAATGCAAACAATGTAATTTAATTTACATTTTCATTTTGCACCAAACATTGCTCATATGTCTTGGAAAATGCAAATTCAAATACAGAAATACATTGCCATTTAACATATTGCATTGCCATTTTGCATATTACATTTTGAATTGAATTATGCTACTCGTATGCTTCCATAGCAAAGCACAAATTCTTAACGGGAAAAGAAAAATGTTCATAGGCGCTCATTTGCATGCAGCCAAATTCACTTTATTTGGACAGATGGATAATTTCAAGTGCGATGCTACTGATCTGTTTTGTGGTCACGGCATCAAGATGCTGTTCAAATTCATTCTGCACCAGAAAACAAAACCTTGAGTCGTTATGGATGCAGAGATGCCATCCTTCATATCCAGTGTGCCACCAACTTTATAATAACTAAAGATGCTGGATGTTAACGTGATTGCATGGACACTGCAGAATTGTATGTCACCATTACAGATCACTCCATTACAGATGAGTGAAGTCTCACAGCTTGTAATTTGCAAACATGGGTTGTGAATGAATGTGATCTATACCTACTGCACAAAAAAAATAATCTTTTGATGGATTTTTTATGCTTTAAGCTGAATACTAGTATCTTGAAAAATAACAAGTAAAATATTATTTGCAATCTCAAGAGCTTAGTTACTAAAACTTATTTAAAATGTGTTGTGAAAAATCTTAAATTTAGAAAAACAGCACTTGAGAAATATTTGAAATACACACACACACACACACACACATGCACACACACACACACACACATATATATATATATATATATATATATATATAAGTGCTGTCAATCGATTAAAAAAAATGAACTAATTAATCGCACTTAAAAAATAATTGCGATTAATCGCATTTAAAAGACTGAAACTTGTAATTATGGCTATTCGAGTGTAAAATTAATGTAAACGCAAGACAAATACTTTTTAAATTCAATATATAATTTTTTATAAGAATTTTTGTTTACTTGTAACACAGATTTCTTCATGTAAACAACATACCCACAATAAACCGTCATGATCCTGGCTTGACAGCCATATTTATTACAGAAATAAAAACACAGGCATGTTAATGACATTTAAATTTCAAAATAATTAATGACAATAAAGAAAACATTGATTTTCACGTTGGATTCTAAGTGGACTGCAAAAAAAATGCCAAAATACAGGCATGACAGATATGAAAAATTATAATAATAATAATAATAATAATAATAAAGTATTGAAAATCTGTGCATGCCCTTGAATATGTTTAACAACTCCCATTCTATAAAAGCACAAAAGCCATATATAGGAAATAATGAGAGTTGACAAATTAAAAAACTACTTTTTTTTATTATTAAAATAAAATTATAATCCACACTGGATATGTGGGTGCCTGTGTGTTTTGACCGGTCTAGAAAATAATGAGCATAACAAAAACTGCCTGCTGACGCACACAGTTAATGTTGATTAATAAAATAAAGATAAATAATAAAAACTATGTATCAGAGACCCTTAAAAAACATGTTTAACTCAACAATGAAACGTCAAATGTAGCTAACAGCTTTTACATTGTCAATCAAATGAACTTAAACAATTAAAAAATGCAACAAATATTTTTTTGGGCAGAACTACAAAACTAAATGTAAAAAAAGTTGCTTAAGTTGCACACTAGTTTGATCATGTATAAATATCATTATATTAACCATATTGTGTAAATATTATTGTCACTATAAGCCTACATCATGCTGACGATCAAAAACAATGTCATGATATCTCATGCGATTGTCTTCTGACCGAGTGCATCTTAAAAAACATGAATGGCACCCTTCATAGAGCGTGAGAAGCAGACATTCTCTATCATTTGTAAAATAAAGACTTGCAGGTTAAGGAAACGGCATTATAGGAGGAAGTTGCCGCGGCCGTGGTGCAGATTAAAAGTTTAAAAAAGTATATGTATATGGACAGATAGGTAACTAGATAGACAGGAATTTATTGATTTGTGCCCCTCTGCAGAGTTCAGACGCAAAAGCCTGCTCTCCCGCGGCGCGAACCTGCGCAAGAGAAACAGGCGTGACTCTCGGCTATTTTGACAAATACACAACTACGTTACACAGAGCCCAACATGGAAGATTGTGAATGGGTCAGCCCAATGTCAATAAAGAAAAGAACCAATGGGCTGCGGATTATGTCACCCGGCTCTGTCCGGAAAAGAAACATCTTACTTTCAGAGCATGACAGACAGCTCACAGCACCTTCAATCACTGAGGCAGAAAGACATGACAGTCTGCTGAGTGTTTTATGGGCCAATCAGATCATAAGAAGATGATCAGCCAGGCCCAAAAAGTACGTCGAAACAGCGGGAAACTTGCAGGCGTCTGCCCTGGCCACAACAGGAAAAAGAAAAAAAAAACTGCGTTAATTGCGTTAATTTTTTTTAACGCGTTAATTATTTCAAATTAATCGCATGCGTTAACGTGTTAATTTTGACAGCGCTAATATATATATATATATATATATATATATATATATATATATATTATATATTATATATTATATATATTGTAGCGAGGCAGAGGGAAAACAGCGGCACAACAGGATGAGTTTACAGACAAGTCCCCGGAGGGTGCTTTATTTACAAAGTGAAGGTGTTGTAAAAGGTGCTCTTCTTTAGGGTGAGGTGCTCTGGTGCTCCGGGAAGTAGGTGAAGGACAGTGAGTAGTCGGGTGAAGGATCGTCACGAGCTGGAGTCCGCTAAGGAGAGACAGAGAGACAAGCATTAGCACAGGGAGTCATAGAATGAATGAAGCTCATCTTCTCCTGGCGTAGGTTGGGCTTATATGTCTCTCCGCTTGATGTCCTCCAGCTGTGTGTGATCCTGGCTTGATGAAGGTCCAGCTGGGTGAAATTAGCGACCAGGGCGACGTGGCATATAATTGCTCGCTACATTCCCCCCCCCCTTAGCGTCGTCCTGGTCCTGGGTGTCCTGCGGAGAAAAGGTAGAGTATTGAGAGGGGGGGTAGAATGATTTGACAGACCTGCCCATCCTGACCATAGCCTTGAGAGCCCGTCGGCGTTTCCGTGGGAGGCCCCGGCTCGAT